CCCCTCCCTCCCTCCCTCCCTCCCTCCCTCCCCTTTCTCTCCCCCTTCCCTTTCTTTCTGCTTTCACTTAAAGTCAGAACTCACAGGAAATCAATTGCATATAACTTAGCACAAAAATATGCCCATTTATATTTGAGGAATAAAATTCTTGTACCTGCCAGCAATATAATTCTAAGTTGAACATCAGCAATAGAGCAGTAAGATTATGTTGCTGGAATAATTTCCCGGGTCCTGCACTTCATAGCTGAGCTGAAAGAGAACATGAGCTTACTCTGCCATCTTTTGAAACTATTCTTCTGAGAGCCACATGATGAACTTGAGCTAACAAGGAAGAATTAAGAAGTCTAAACCAGTTGAACTTTAGTTGATAATAACTTACTCACATCTTGATGGAAAATATTGGTTAGAGCTACTCACATGCTGTGGAACTACAGAAGATAGTTATTTTTTGCGAAGTGACTTTATGGTAAGCAAGGGACACTGCTGTTTCTGTAAATCTTACTTTGATTCCTTCTTTCAGTAAGCAAAGATCACAATTAACCAATTATTTTACGAGGTTTTGGGTAAAGTGCATCTTATGTTAACCCAGTGCGATTAATCTATGATACTCACTACGCAATAGTGAATCCTCAGAGTTAGCTTGATTTGATTTTCTTTAGAAGAAATACCTAAAGTTTGTGCAGAGGTTTTCCTCGTATGACCGCAGAATTCCCCTGACTTTGTCTTGCTCCATTAACAGTCTCTATACTCTGTGTGATCGATGTAAGTTTGTTTTGAACATACCTTCCACTAGCTCCATTTACCACTCCCTTGTTTTCACCGTGAAAGAGAAGAACTGATTAGTACCCACCTTCTCTGTGTCACCATGATTTTACAGATAAGAGAAGAAAGGGATTGAAATCTACAGAGGAATAGTATTTGATGGTTATGTATGGGGCTCAGACTAGACAGGCAAATACATCTGGCTTGCAGCTATGTCTGAAGTAGCTTTGCAGTACGTTTAACTCTGTGAGCACAGCATCCAGTTCAAGAATCCTGTAGCCCCTTCTTTGTCCTCCTTGCCAAACCCATGGAGACTTTTCTGTTCCTCTGGGTGAGCCTGAACAGCTGCAGCTGCATGTCCTTGGGCAAAAGGATACCACCATCTTTCTGGGTTCTGCAAAGCTTTCTTAGTGCCAGTGTGAGATCCTTGGGGAATTTCACCCAGGCAGCAAAAGGTGTCACAGAGAAGAGGAAGCACTACCAGAAGGGCATGCCAAGGAGCAGCAGTAAGTCTCCTGAGCACAGTTTGAGACCCTTCAACAGAGGGGCAGTTCACAAAGGTGCAGAGATTTCTCCAGCATGAATCCTTACCAGTGTGGGCCAAACAACCCACTCCCCCTTGTGACCATTTGCCATTGCCAGCCACTGCTGCACTCCTCCAGGTACCTTTACAAATAACACCAATAAACACAAGTATCCATCACTGCATGGTGCCATGCATGTGCACACAGAGGTGTGCATGTATCACATCTTACCCACAGAACACCAGCAGCGGTGGCATACGAACCCTAACCTGCACTGACCTGCTAGGGGAGGGTGAGGAGGGCAAACGATATGGCAGGCCTGTGGCCTGGGAAGAAGTAACAGGTTCTGCGTCAGTGCTGTGGCTACCTGGGAAGTTTTTCATTTATTATTTTGATTTTTTTCATAAGGCAGGATTTACTCTGCATCTTCTCTTCCAGATTGTGATAATGGACACTCTCTTAACAAACACACAGGCAGTAACCTAGCATGCAGACTAGTGACCCAGAACTGTATGTCAGAGAGGGTTTATGGCCCTCCTTTTTAGTTCTGCAGACTCGGAAGGATGATTCTGCAGGGAAATTCTCTTTGTTTCTCAATGCCTCTGAGGGCCAAACCAGAACAAAGCCAGTGTTTATGTTCCCTGTCTTTCTCTGAGTAATCCACCCCAGGCCATCGCCCAAGCAGGGCCCCTGGGCGCGTTGTGTCTCTGGTGGACGCAGAGGGATTCCAGCTGGCCCACAAAGGCTGGGGTGGTCTGCCCCTCTGTCCTCTGACGGGCCTGCCCTAATCTGAGCTGGCCCATAAACAAGAGGCAGGGGGTGGGAAGCTGTCTCCCTGCTCCTCTGTGGGCCTCTGCCAGGTTGAAGATGGCCCAATAAACAAGGGGTGGGGGCTTTCCTTGAGCGCTGCGACTGCACTTTGGTTTACTTGAGCCACCTCCCAGCGAGAAGGGATGGGCTGCTTTTAAATGCTTTCTTTTGCTTTCTGGTCTCTCTATAGGGCTGGCAGCCTCTGGAGAGCTGTTACATGTGGGCTGGTGTTCAGGGCTTCCTGGCTAGCAGCCTGTGTCTCTGAAGCCAATTCAGCTTGCTTGCACTTGACAACAGGAAAAGATTTCTGCACATGACAATAATAAAGTATTTTTGCACTTTATTGCATGTATCTCCACTCTGGACTGCAAACCCTTGGGGACAGTCTTTATTTCTTCTATTTCTCTTCTTTCTCACCATTCCTCACGGAGAGCAGAGGGGCAATACCTTGTGCCTGTCCTACTCTTTGAGTAAGTTGCTAGTTTCTGCAGGGAGGCACTGCAGTTCAAAGAAGCAAGTCTGGTAGGACTGTTGGATAAAGAATATATATTGGTATGTAAGTGCACAGAGCACGGCAGAAGATGACAAAGTTATAGAGGTAAGATGAGAGACACTGCCCACTTTATGTACATGCACATGCTGCATTTGGGTGTGCATGGAGTGGCTGTCATTCTTCCAGGTGGAAGATTTTCTGAAGCTATCACTCTTCTGAGGAGAGAAAGGAATCATCCACTGTCCTCCAACCCCACTGCAGCTGAATGTAACAAATACAATTATTGCTTTTTTTTTCCTTTTTTCTTATTTTTTTTTTTTTTCAGAAATGGGAAGTGGGAGTGGCTTTACTCTGATGAAGCAGGGAAACTTCACCCAGAGAAGTAGATACTGAGGTGGCCATTATGAACATGGTTAGTGTGGCTAGCTATGCATTTCTTCATGCAAGATTGTGGGTCCTTATTTTATAGAGATGATTTCTTGTGATAATAACCGTTTCATCCTGAGCAGAAGTAGGATAGCAACATGGGTCTTTATAGAATCATAGAATTGTTTGAGTTTGAAAGGTCCCCTAAAATCATGTTATCCAACTCCCCTGCAATGAACAGGAACATCTACAGATAGATCAGGTTGCTCAGGCCTTGGGTCTTCCTGATGGGCCCAGCATGGCCCAGTATTTCTTGGTGAACTCAAAGATGAACAGCCACCTGCCTCCTTTTCTCTGAATTTATCTGCACTTACATGGATATTGAATCTTCCTTATTGTCACTTCTTGCTGAAACCCAGTGAGAAGCCAGTTCTGAGACTCTCCTGCTGCCTCAGTTCTGCCTCTTTGCCAAGGAACCAAATTACCCTTTTTCATTTTTCATGACCCAGCAGTTTGCAGCAGATGGAAAGAGAGGGTCAGAAGCTGAGCCTTTCCAGTATGAGTCCTCATGGAATGGGAGTGGTTGGGAAGGGGGAATAGATATTTTTTTGCCCAAGTAACTTAAAAGTGTTGTGCAGTTAAAGGGTTGCTGGCTAAAGCTGGACACTGACAGAAAGAAGTTTATGAGGACAAGATAAGAAAGTAGTATACTGACTACTGAGAAAGTTTATGGTCGCATATACATGGAATGTACTTCACTGGAAGGAAGTTCCATCCTTTTTGGTTTTCATAAAGTTAACTCTACTTATCTTTCAGCACGTATTAGTATTCCAGGATGCAGAAGGGTTTTGATAATAAGGCATTCCTGCCAAACCTGCATTATTTGTTGTGAACTCCTGGGATCTTAAATACTCATATTCTTGCCTCCTTTTTAGTTTAAAAAAAAAAAAAAAAAAAAAGGAATTAGGGAAGATAAATTATTCTCCATTTGAGAAGCCAAAGCCTGTTTTTTTCTCACTTCACTATCTTTATTTGCAGGGGGACCAGAGTGGCCAGACTGGGTTGCATCAGTAGTCAAAAGTCTTAAATTGGGCAATTGATCAGAAACATGCTGGAACATTTGTGTGTTGTAACCTTGATAGACTTACAATTTCATTGTCTTTCTTTTCTCGAGGTGAGTACTACTCAGAAGGGGACTTGGGGAGCAGAATAAGGCAGTCCATTCTCAATTCCTCCACTTCTTGTCACTTCAGTACTGTACAAAAGCGCATATTAATCTAGCATCCATGGGAGTTTCACCTTTTCCAGGAAAGAGCAGATGCTGCTCTTAAGACAAAGGTTCAGAAAACCTACTTTTTCTTGTGAGAGAGGGGACACAATATTTCTCAGTGTATTGTATCTGTGAATTACGTGTTTTGAAATGCATCAAACAAATCAAAGGGTTTAAAAGCAGCAGCAGCAAAGAAAGCCTGCATAAGAAAGAGGGGCTTTGGTGTACCCTAGGCAATCCACTACAGATCTCTTCATGAGAGCTAGTCACTGTCTAGAGGTGATTTTGGTAAATGCAGACTAGGACCAAGAGGGCTTTTGTATACTGTTTTCTTACCCTACTCTTTGCACAATTGTCTGTATTTCGCCCACCCATGAGCCCTTGCCTCTCTTACTCTGTGGGAACAGCAGCATCCCTTTCTTGTCTGGCAGCATAGCAAGCAGGAGCTGCATGAGTGCTCTTTTCTCACCACTTCTGCCTAAATTGAATGTACTCTAGTGAGCTGGATGCAAACGTCTGGCAGTTCAGACTTGATCTGACTGACTTGCTGGCTGGGAAAACTAGAGTAACACTGGAGACAAAAGAGCTGATACCTTCATACTGCAAACATCAGAGGCAGCAGGAACTGCGTACCAGAACTCAGTATAAATGATTATCTTTTGCAGTTGTCCTACACCAGATGATCGTCTTTGTTACTGCTCATGTAGAAAATCTGCAAACATATGTAAACTGAGGTTCAACAAGCTGATAGGCTTGGCAGATAAATGCACATTCTTGCCTGTGAGTTTTAGCTCAGCTCTCAAGTATGATTGCAGTGGTACAGGACTGGCCAGATTCTGATCTCATTTACACCCTTGCCAATACAGAGTAACAACTCTGATGCCACAGTGTTGGTCTAAAACTATCCAACTGTGGCTTGCACTGATGTTTCATTGATGCCTAGTGTGGGGAAGAGTTGCATCCAAATTGTGTATTCTACATAGAGGACTCTGTATGATGAAATAAAATAACTGTAAAACGATGCACAGGCACCAGTGCACCAGTCTGGATTGTTTAAAAATCTGAGAAAGATTTAGTAAATTTCTGATCCTGTAGCTGGGCTTTTTTTTTTTTTTTTTTTTTTTTTTTTTTTTTTTTCCCCACAAATATCTGTAGTAAAATTTTGCCAGGCCTGACTGTAAGTGGATTGCTCTTTTGAACGTTTATGGATGAGGTTTCTGATCTGTAGATGTAGGATGCACTAGAACATCATCAGAGTTGACAGGCCAGATGGTGATTAAGCTTTCCCATATTCCAAATGTTTCTGTTGATGCAACATGCACAAAGATGTCCAATACTCACCGTTTCTTTTTTGGTCCTCAGGAGGTTGACTATAAAATCACAGAATAATTGAATAATAGAACTAGAATCATAGAATGGTTTGAGATGGAAAGGATCGTAATGCTAGAAACTAGTTCCAACCCTTCTGCCATGATTTACTTTACACTACATCAGGTTACCCAAAGCCCCATCCAGCCTGGCCTGTATCATCTTAGACTCAATTGTGACTAAGCAAAATGAGACAAAGTGACTTAAGATATTTATATACCATACAAGCATCTTCTACACTTCTCTGTTCTGGCCTCTTCATTTCAGACCAAGATTGAAGATCAGCACAAGAACTGTTTGTTTTTGGAGACAGGAGAGCTGCAGCACTATGGCAAAACTGAAGACTGGAGAAGAGCAAATGAAGAATGAAAGGAATAGGAGGAGTGTCGAAAAAACTTTGTAAGCTGGATAAAGAGGAGGAGTAGAAGAAAGACAAAAAGAAAACTTCACAGGGTCAGAGAGAATCTGATAAACTTCGACAAAAGCTTCAACACACTCGGAAGGTGTTTTCTAAACCTTCTAGCCTTGTGGCATTTTCCCATCTATAGTCCAGAGGTGAAATGATTTATGAATACACATGCTTACACAGTTCTCTGTGAGCATTTTGATAAGGTAAATATATCACTCAGCAGGAAGCTTCACTGCATGCTAGTCTTCTTCCTCAGAGAGAAATTCTGTGTTGTGGGCCCTAGCTAGCCCTTTCTGACATACATAGGGCATGAAGTTTTGTTCTTCATTAAAAAAAGTCCCATCGAGATGTTTAAACACAGATCTCCCTGTAAGGGTGAACACCCTGAATTGCCCTCCATCCAGTTCTTCTCCATTTAATTGGTATAAAGCAGTTTCCCCTTGGCTACTTCTTCCCTTGAAATTACACAAGTAGCCTCACTAGAAAGGCATAGGTAAATATTTTATACTGTGCACCATGTGGATTAGGAGCACAGCTCCCATTAACCAGAGCTGGAATCATGCAGCTGATTTCCCCCTCACACTGTGCTTGAAGCATACCCTACAGGATGCGGAGGCTGAGCTCCCAAGTGCCACCTTATGAAGAAGGTGTGGAGTACTTTCATTTAATACTGCATGTGTTTCCATTAGCAGAGTCAATTGCTCTCCATCCTCAGTTTTAAGACTCCCTGTTTCTCTCTATTACAGCTTTATTTCCAAACGCCATCCAATCCTCCCTAGTCCTTCCATCTGAGCCTGTAAGGTTTTGACCATATAACACCACAACATCTTGGCTTTCGTTTGGTTTAAACTTTTTGTTCACAATTATAGATGTGCTGAACACTGAGCACTTCTATTTCTCATGAGCTTACTGCTCCTTAACAAAGCTCATGGACCTAGAGTATTGGCAATTTGGGGTGGCAGCTTAGGGGGTGTCAGTGGAGCAGAGGCCAGCATATCCTGAAACCTGCAAAGCACATGGGGAAAAAATGTGGCTGCTACTTTGATTGAGAGCAACTGTTCACACAGGCGTGGTTCCTACAGAGTAGAAAATTTATGTATCTGTGTAAATTCTAAGCTAAAACTAGAATATGTTCATCCCATATGTAAAAATAAAGTTGTGGTTAATATGCCATGCGCTGTGGTCAATTACTACTCTGTGAAGTGGTGGCTTAGCTACCTGTGCAGTGCAATATAGCAATTGCCAGACACTGGCTTTCCTCACTTCCATTTTTACTGCATAGCTATCTAGGAAATTTACAAAATAAAATTCTATCTAGTATGCGCAAGTGGGGTTATGTCACGGCAGGTCGTCATAACAAAATTGAGTTTCCATTCATGAAGAAATCTTAAAGAATTTTTTAATTCTGCTTCAAAATCTTAACTTTCAGAAAAGTAAAATTTCTTATTTTTCTAATGCAGTGATTTTAAAAATTAAAAATATTCCGAAAAAGGTTTTACTAAAAAAAAAAATAAAATTCCACAATTTCTTTAATAAGCCAACTGCTTTCCTTTAAATTTCAGGTCAACTCTGGATTAGAACTAATTAGAATACTAGATTGCATGACCATATGAAATGAACTAAAAGTAATCAAAATGACAGAAGACACACACACAAAAAAATTCTACTTGATTGGCATGATGCTCGTCAGCATTATCAAGCCACATTAGTTAGAGTGAAACACTTTCACTTTTTAAAATTCAGAATGTCACTGAGGTAAAGTTCTTCTTGGAGAGAGTTTTGATTTCTTTATTTTACCACATTCCTTAAGAGAAATTTCTAATAATTATTTTTACCAGCTTAATCTAGAACACAAGTGCTGTGAAATTCTACATATGACCAGTGTTTAACATGCAAATCTTCGCTACCTCCTTGCTGATCCTGTTTTTTGTTTTGAGCTCTTTGCTAATAAGTAATGAAAATGTTACAGCCTTACAGCTTGTTTTGTGGTTGCAATTACGTAATCATTATTAATGAAGCAACAATGTCAAAACTGTGTGAAACCAAACTCACATTTAAGCACTTACAATAAACAGATATAAAACAACAGATGTCTCAGTTTTTGTTCTCCAATGATTTCATCCCTTGTTAAAAATAAACGTCTGGTTTAAAAAAGAAAAGGGCTTTTCTCCACTCTTACAAATTAATTGAATCCAGAGATTGGTGTTACAACTAAGGAGTTCTCTTTATTCTTTTTTTCTTCCCAAAATTTGTTTGTGGGGATACTTTTTTTTTTTTTTTTTTTTTTTTCAGTTAGCAATAAATTCACTTCAAAGCCATCCAGGAATCCTCGGAAGTCAATGGTCATTTACCCCAGCTGAAGCCTTGGCCCCTGATCCCAGCCAGAAATGCAGCCAAATGCCAGGCTTGCCTCCAGTTTGGAACACCCTGAAAAACTTTTAGGATGTTTTAGAGATGTTTCCAGTGCATGGTTTTGGTTTATCCGACTGATACCTGTCATTTGCAAATGTTGGTTCAGATTTGGGTCAGAATTTGTCGATAGGTACAGGGAGGTCTGTAGATCTCTGGAACCTCAGAAAACCAGCACTCTGTTTTATGCAAACATCAAACGTCCAGATGCTTATTTGAACCATTCACATCTGTTGAGTCTGCAGAACTGGGCTGGAAATTTAGTTGGAACAGGGTTTCCTGCAAGATTTCATAGACTTCATAGCTGAACTTGTGGCCAGAAATACCAGAGCTTCTTCTGGTATTTGAGCACTTTTTCTTCCAGTGCTAACTAGAAATGTGTAGGTTAAATTTAATGAGAGGGTGGGATGTGCAAAAATTTTAAAACTTCACAAAGATTTAGATCTTGTGAACAGACCCCATGAACAACAGAAATACTCAATAGGAAACTAACGCACTATTAGCTACTTTTGAAGCAAAGAAAAATATGTTGGAAGCTGGATAACTTTTCAGTTCTTTAGAGAATAAAACAATATTTTCTTTAAAGCAAAATCTTCTTTTATTATTATTTAAAAAAAAAGCGCAGAAAAGCACTTAAAAATTTGTTCATGTCTAAGTGAATGTTAGTGTCCAAATTTAGGATTTGGACAATATTTTTTTTCATTTGCCAGCCCCTCTGGCACTGGAACAAGTGCAAAACAACTGTCTGTGCACTTTATTGCAAATCTTGCACAATTTTAAGCACACAAGCAAAGGCTCTTGCAAATTGCATTCTGAAAATATAGCACATTTATGCTTACAGCATAAGCATATAAGCAATGACAAGATGTTTTGAACAATCTGTTTTCTCAAATTAGATTAACATCATTGAGAAGCACAATCTGCTCATTGACACCAGAGGGACAAAAAAAGTCGGTGTTCTCTGTCCTCCTTCAGGACCTTGTTTTGGCAGTAGATATTCACTGTCTATGTCATCATGAAGGATGCAGAGCACTTTTAGAGCTGTTGTACTTTAGAAGATATGCTAGGCTCCACACAGCTCTTACGGCAATCAAGCAGCAAAAATACAACAGCAAAAATACAGCAGCTCAGGGTCCTTACCATAGCAATCCACTTTTCAAGGTAACGGGCTAACAAAATTACCTAGCACATTTGTCTGCACACATATAGCAGTGTGCGACACACCTTAAGTGACTGTTTAAAAAAAAATCACACAGTTTCATGAGTATGCAAGATGTTCGTTTATAGCTATTGAAAGTGTCTGTCTGCCGTGGAAACACTGACCTTCCCACTGTAGCTGAAATTGACAATATCTTCCCTTTTGTGTACCCACAACTACAATCAGATTAAGTCCATGCTCTGTACAAGTACTCATCTATTCACACTTGTACTGTTAGTCCTGGGAACTACTTTCAAATTTTAGGTATTACATACTTGCTGTTGCAAACACGGTTTTTATCATCTGACAAAGTCGAACCTCAGGAAACAGCAGCTGAGTGTGACCTATGGCTTAACCCTCAATCAAAATTAAAATAGGTGATTACTTTTTTTTTTCCTATTTTGTTTTTCTTTGTCTGTTTATTCGCACATGTGCTTGTGTGTGTGTGTGCATATTGTACTTCCAGATAAATTCCTTGGAAGCATGCATTGTGTTGAGTGGCTGCATGCAAACAGTTTTGGAACTGGGTGACTTTGATCTTTGACTTACAGACCACAGGGCAAAGGTTAAAATCACAAGCTTCGTTGTTCTGTTGGCAGCAGTCTCTTTTGAAGCTTCTTGCTTTCAGTGAAAGTGGTATACAGTAATATACTAATATTCAAATCTCCGTGTCTTTGATTTTGCTTGGAAAGTGAAAAGAAAAAAAAAAATCAATCCCATTAACTTCTGGTATTTGATGAACTTTCTACGGGTAATATTAGCAAGAATCTGCATGTTCTTGCATACATGTAGAAATGAAAATGAAGATATTGTCAAAAGGCATATTTGCACACATAGGTAATGTGCAAACAGAGAAGATTTACATTAGGAAATTTGGGTGCAGATGACTTCTTGTGTGTGCAAGATGGAAGCTTGCTATAATAATCCAGGTTGGAAAAATTTGATCTTAAGAGACCTTGTTAACTACTTGGATGTTGTAATTCTAATGGGCTGTAGACATTTTATAAGAAGTCTATTAAAATGAGCCAAAACATAAAAAGGCAGTTATAATTGTAATGGAAATCCATTGCATGAAACTTTGTGCTGCTATGACCAAACTACATTTATATTGCCTTTTACATTAAAAAAAAATGAAAAAAGAAAGGGAGAGAGCTGAAAGAATTTACTGAAATCTTATAATACCAGGAATTTTGACTGCTTTGGCAAAGTGAAAGCTTTAGTTACTCAGACCTTAATACCAAGTTTTTTGCTTACTGCCACGCAAAGACATTAATAGCATCTAGTCCTTAAGTTGATATGTGAGGCAGATCTTGCAGCCTAAGACACAGAGCAACAGTCCATGGTGTAAGGCTCTGTGCTAGTAATCAGCAGATTTGTAGTTTACATGTAGCTAAAGAATTACAGCTGTTTCATACAATGGGTAATAAATGAGCAAGACAAAATAAATGAGCAAAGCAGTCCTGTCCTGCTCCACCCCACCCCCTGTTCCTAATTATCCTGTCTCTTGCAGCATATCACTCCCATTAACTTTAGCTTGTAGGTTTTTTTTGTGTGTGCAGGTCTTGGGACAATTGTACCCCAGAGCAAATTCACTGGTGACATAAGCAGCAGCTGAAAAAAAAAAAACAAAACAACAACAACAACAAAAAACCTAGCATGAAAATTGCTCACAAGAGTTGCTCAAGAAGTTGTGAGAAATAAAAGCCTCATAACATTCTCTAATGTGCTCGACCTTCTCTTTTAATCTGACTCCCCTGCACACACGTTGTCTGTTCCCTACCCTTCTTTCACTTCTGCACAAAATATTACTAACACTAAATACCAAAATATGGCATGGAATGCACCCCTTTACATTTTCTAAGCCAGTTTTGGCCACTGTTTGCTTCACTGCTGAATTTGACCTAGAGGCATCAGTGGCACATACAGCTGTCTTCACTGGATCTGGCTTTGCTCTGTTTTCCAACATGTACTTTCTCTTTGTGATGGCTGGGTGCCTCTCACAGGAACCCCAGGTAGTAGAAAGTCCTTGCTTACACAAAGCTCAAATGGAAAAAATCCAAGCTGCCTTCTAAACACTTTAAAATAACACTTTCTAATGCTTCCTACGGGTGATGTTGACACATTTACAATGTTGATTTAAAGGGCAGGGGGAACATAGTTCTTCCTGACACCACAAATGTAAAGTTACTGGCCCACCCTATCAGTGGAGCCACACTGAAATGGCTGCCAGCAGATCCCGAGTGCCAGGTATTTAAAACTGAGAAAACAGGCAGATGGCGGCCTCTGTGGTTATGAGCAAAACTTTTGAAAGCTCCCCTGCTTTCAGCTCCCCCAAGGCTAGAGTTGCAGTCAATACCAAGCACAGATACTGCAGTTCCTGAGATATTTGGCCCAACAGAGCCTGAACTCTCTGTGAACCATTTTAGCCCAAGTTTGCTCTACCAAAGTGCATACTGAAGATTTCCTTCATTTCTTTACCTCGTCCTTCATTCACAGTTTTTTTTTCGTTTTTTTTTCTTTTTTTTTTGCTAGAACTAATCTGACTGTAAAGGTTTGTCAGTCTTCAGATGTTCTAATTTCTCAATCACCTGCTCTGACATGATCCTGATTTTCTTCAATATTTCATCTTCTACCCCTGGGAAATTTATATCTGTTCCTGGCATTTGTCTCCCATCTTCCTTTGTGAACACAGAGGGGAAAAATTCATTTCATTTCTTTTTTCCTCTCTCCCTCTCCCTCTCCCCTGTCTCTACTTTTTT